CTCTCCCAAACTTCAGAGAGTTCATCCTCAGATGTGTGGAATTAAATTGCCATAAAGGGAAGACTGAAGTGTGAAGTTGCAGTCCTGACATGTGAAGCTTAAACTCTTATTACTGAAGCTCTCCGCTACAGATAGCCCTTGATTTACGACAGTTCGTTTATTGGCCATTCGAAATTACATCACTGAAAAAAGTGACTTAAGACTGGTTTTCATACTTACGACCGTCGCAGCATCCCCATGGTCACGTGATCAAAATTTGGATGTCTGATGGCGGCAGTGTCCCGGTGTCACGTGATCCCCTTTTGTGACCTTCTGGCCGGCAAAATCAATGGGGAATCCAGATTAACTTAACAACCGTGTTACTAATTTAACAAATGCAGCGATTCACTTAACAACTGGGGCAAGAGAGGTCGTAGAACGGGACAAATTCACTTAACGAACGTCTCACTTAGCAACGGAAATATTGGGCTGAGTTGTGGCTGTTAAGTCGAGGAATACCTGTACTTTGGGAGGGAATAAACGAAGATTACCTTATGCAAGTTCTCCATTAAGACCTGAATTTGCTTCACTTTTTGCCTCAGTCGTTCTCCAGCACATCAGACAGGAAGTCTTCCCCGTCACCTGCGAATGGAACATGCAGAGTTTGACTCCAAAACTGACAAGGATGTGGCCTTCCACCCCTAAGCTTGTCCCTGGCCCATTTTTCAATCTCAGCGTAGGTCAAAAGCACTCATCCATTTCTATATGCTGAGCTTTTAATGTCTTTTATGCTTAAGGCTGTAGTGCCATGCAGCTTTGTATAGGGACAATCGTGTTGGATATAATGGGTGGGCGGGGGGACGGGGGACTTGCTGCAGAAAAATCATGGTTGACCCTTTTCCCTCTCAAGGGAATCGCTTAAGAAGGAAGACTGTACAAACCGTGGATAACCCCTTTTAATCGGAATCATAGAATTGGAAGAACTATTTTGGCCACCACGTTTAACCATCCTTATTTCAAAATAATTCACGTTCTTTCCAGAGTGGGATTAACAGGGAGCGTTGCTGATGTTTTGCAGAAGATCATTTACAAAGTTTGGCCAAACCATCAAGCTTGTTTGTTCACTTCTGCAAGATACCATTAATCTGGTCCTGGAGAGTGGATCTCATTTAAAGTAAAAACGCATTTTCTGATCTTGTTTCTGCAGTCCTGCTCCTTCACAATTTCTTGGAGGAAGACATATTTTTTTTGCCACAGAGGATGGACCAAAAGAAGAGTTTTGCATTTCTAGCATTGCCTCCCCCCCACCCACCCCTTGAGCAGTTAATATTACAATTGTGGTTTTTCTTCTTCTTTTAACTTGATCGTATTTGAAGAAGTTTTTTTTATTCCTCCACCAACCTCAGTTCATTCTCAGCAGTTCCCAATTCTGGGCTTCTTCTTTTGTCACCTTTTTGTTTTTTCCAGTTCTTCCCTCAGATTTTGGGGTCGCTTCTTCTCTTCCTTTCTCCTCCATTTTCCGAGCTTCTTCTTTTGTCACCTTTTTGTTTTTTTTTTCCAGTTCTTCTCTCAGATTTTGGGGTCGCTTCTTCTCTTCCTTTCTCCTCCATTTTACGAGCTTCTTCTTTTGTC